CTTCAGGAACATGAATTACATGTCCTCCTTTTTGTAAACTGCCAGGAATATAATTTGTATGTCCTTTCTACAGAGGTACTTTCTTTGACTTAATAAATGGGCACTGAATTTCATATAAATCTATTGACAGCATATTAAATATAGTCCTCTACATTCCTAAACCAGATAACTTCCCTGGTGTGGTTTCAGTTTCAGTACATATACTATTTACCTAGAAGATGATGCCTTTCACTTTAAAGATGTATTTAGGTGCTTTTTAAAAAGTAGATTTTTAACCTTAAAAACTTATAATTTAATTTTTTTTAAACTCACATTATCTGAAAGCATTTTACCTGATAATAAATCTGGAGGTGTTGCAATAAGGCAATAGTTATATGGAGTTCGCTTCCTAAGCAGCCATTGCTTTTGGAAGGCATTTAATACTAAGTGTCCCAAAGCTACTCTAACAGAATTCCCAAAACGATAAAGAAAATGATTTATATAGAAATTATTTTGTTCATGGAGGTCATGTGTAAGGCTTACAGAACATTATTTTCAATCCTCTTTATTCAAATATCCACTAATATATGTTTGGGTTGACTAATTTTACTGGGGAGAGGTGCACATTTGTTAAAAAGAAAAAAACTACTTTTAAAACAAAAATTTTAAATGTCAATGGCTATGTAATACCAGTTTTTATTTTAAAGAAACATTTTAGAAGTGATTAGTACACATATACTGGAATTCCTTTTTTAATTCTGATTTTACAAGTTAAAGATATAATATTTTTACTATTTTTCCATTTGGGATTGGAGCCAATTCTGTATAGAAAAGTTTTTTTAATGGTGTCCTCCTATAATAAAAATGAATTTGCTGAATAAGATATTAGTGTGAACACTCATACCAATCTTTACTGTCACTTTTATGGAGACCAATCTCTCTCACCGATATCTCTAGGGTTGTATAAATGCTAAAACAAGAATTCAGTCTTAGGCTTCTGGGTTCTCTAGTTGATCCAAAGACCAAGTGTGACTTGGTCACTATTTATAATATTAAGTGGACTACTTGTTAGAATTTTAGAGAATGGTTTAAATTCTACCACCAATCTAGAATGTATAACAAGTGAATTGTCATAAATCACCATGAAACTACTTGAATTTAACACTTATAAAATCCATCACTTTGAATTTGGAGCTGCAAGAGAAAATTTTACAAAGAAGGCCCTCTCAAAATACTTCCCATTTACAAAGGCCACTTATGCATTTACAGGGGTTAATTTCTTAGCCCTGAGGTACTAAAAGGTATATCTATATAGTACTCTTTTTCTAGGTTAGGGAGTCTGTTTTTTGAGGGTTAATAAAAAGCACATGTACAAAAATTCATCTATAAATTTTCTGTTGCTCTCTTTCAAGGGCTACAACTAAACAAAAAGGGGTTTCTGTTGTTTCAAAAACTAATACATGTGTCACTAGCTTGGACACAATTCTGTGAAAAATAATTTCACATTGCTCCATATTAAAGCAATGCAAACAAAAAGCATAATGTGTTAAGCTGAAAGATCATGTTATGTGTTGAATTGGTTTCCAGACAGTATATACTCTAAATCGTATTTTTTTAATCAAACTCACAAAATTTAAGAAAAACTGTTTCCTTCAGAAAGCACCTAACAGCAATACACTGATGTTTTAACAAATTAGCTGCCTCCAGTAATACATGCTGGAAAAATGTTTATATAATGGAGTGGTGGACCAGCAATACAATTTCCAATATGTATTTATACATTTTAACATTATAACATATAAAATATAACCACAAAAAGGACAGCAGAACTAAAAACTAAACCTCATTAAATGTATTTTCTTTTATAAAGGTAAAGCAAATGAATCCCAAAGGTTAGAATGTTGGCTTTTATGCCTTGCCAAAATGGTCTTCATAAGAATGTTTACCAAATTTGTAATCCCACATATCTTCCAATCCTGTTTTAATGTTAATTCATAGTCAATTATTTTTTAAAATCCTCTATAAATGGTACTGCTGTATTCATAGATTAGTGTAATTTTGAAACGTATTACAAACTTTAAAACGTCAAAAATTTTCTCAGTTACATACTTTAACTTCTTATATTTAAAGTTGGATGAATACTTCCAGATAACAGATCCACTGAATGAAAGGAGTTTTAATCATATCTTAAGCATTTTGTATATTGATATATTTATTAATACCTAAAACTAACTTTCTAAAATAATATAAAAAATGGAATTTGGGCCAAGGATGCTTTCCCAATTTTTTGGAGAAGTTCACAACTGTTCTAGCTCTGATATTTTGTGTTTAATTTAGCTGGGCTTTCTCTCATTTAAAACAAGTTAACCTATTACTTCAACTTTTTTGACTAAACTGGACATCAGTCACTATTAGAAGAATATCCCTGAATTTAAAAGTTACAAATACTTCACTAGTATAACTTTGATAATAATGTGTGGGTATCTGCAAAATGTAAGAATATTTTGGTTTAAAAAATATGTAATTGTAACTAACACCAAATGTGTCCCACTGATATGAATGCTAGAACTATATCAGAAAGTTTTTCTGTTTTGGCTTTGGTTAGGTTTCTGGGGTGGGGGAACAACTCCTAAACTCCAAAACAAGACTCAGTCTTGGATTTGTATAAAATAAATTAGGAAAAGAAAATAACATTTCCTCTTGTAATGGGATGACATATGCTCTATAGTTGGATTTTGTAACTTAACTTCTATTAACTCCCTTATACCAAGAGGCTAATACTCACTTCTTTATAGAAAAAAGTGTCCATTTATTATCCTAATGTACAGAATGAGATAATACTGTTTCTCAAGGCAACTAGCCTAATCCTGGAATGATACTCATACACTATTGACGATCAACAGTTTTCTACTTGGATGGGAGCAAAGGATACCCTAGCTTAGTGATGATATCTACATAAAGAAAGCCATGAAAGATAAAGCTATAGCTTTTCCTTTAGTGATACCATTCCCATCCAATAGGTTTGGATTCCCTCTCGAGAAAATCTTACATGCCAATTGTAAGCTTTTACTATAATGGAAACACATGCGTGAAATGTTAGGCAGCAGGCCATTCTACTAGCAGGATTTAAAGGTTTAGGAAAATACCGCAGGGGATTTGCTTTTCAGGGATGGAGTTCAAATTCTCAAACGAAGCTAAAGAAGCACATGGGGGATGTTTCCAAAAGCTTCAGAATTATGCTATTCAGCATAAACTACTCTGGAAAATACTGAACCTTTACCTGTGACTCATCACTATTATAGTTCTTTTCTTCTTAAACACTTTTCCTATAGGTTTTGGAATTATTTTCTTATTTTTTGGTACTGTTAATATAGCATATACCCCTTCAGTATTCCATTCAAGCACTCTCCAAAACTGAAAACTAACTATACTTAGGGCAGACAGATCAATCATTTTTAGCCAATACATTATGTTGATAAATTACTGAATTTTCTGTTTAATACAGACAACATTTATTAATTCTTTGTCTCAAGCAAGGAGGTCAATACATATGTTTTAAAACCTGTGTTGTGTGCCTGGTGTATGCATATATTTTAATATAATTCACTAAAAAATACTGATAGCCAGTGGTGCTGTGGTATAAAAATCTCAGAAATACTGGTTATTTGAAAATTCCGTATTTGGTGTAATTGTTGTGCCCAATACTGTAATACAGACAAGACAGATTAAGCACAGTCTATAAGTGACATATTCTCAGAATATGCCTGCTGGACCATGTTATGATAGAAAAATTTGGAATGATCAATGAAAACTGAGATGAAAACTCAAAAAAATCAGAAGCAAGTAAAAATATTGAAGTTTTCTGATGGTCTTATCTACATACACTCAGGACAGCTTCCCTTCTGTCATACCAAATAATACTTGTCATGGATTATATTCTTCATTATGCAAAGAAAATACTGTTTTAATCTCACTGGTAGATTTGATAGCAGCATATTTGATGTACTGAGTATTCAGATACCTGATGAACATATGCAATTGTTGAATAAATTAGTGTTATGCAAAAACTCACACAGGAGGCACTTGAGTGGTATGTTAGAAACTAATCTTTGGTAAGGGCAAAATGAACAAAAAACACCAAAACACTTCATTTGGTTACATTGAACATATTTTCACTGACTAGCACTGAATGTCTCCAGATATATTAAGATGCTGGTCAAGAAGTTCACAAAACTGAAAAATGTCATGGCTAAAAACCTCTGGTTTTTGCTTTTTGCCATTCAAAGTCTCTTTTTAAGAGATGATGATAAACTTTCGTATTCATCGTTGGTCATTTTTGTTCTTTTCAACTTATTTGGGGGTAAAATGAAAAAAACCTGTAGAACTCATCACAGTATTGGTTGTACAGATGGATGATATTATTCTTCATATCCACAAATTAACTAGCTTATTTGATAGTTGATAAATTACTAATGTCCAGTGTTTTCCAGAACCAGTTTTTTCAGTGTTCATTCAAACGATGGTAGGATTTCTTTTATCTAACCCAATTTAATTGAGAAACAAAATAAATGCCTGCAAAGGGCAGGGTTTTAATGTCTTCTGCATCTGTTGTCTTTGAAATTAGGCATTTTTGTTAAGTATTGAAAAATCATTCATGGCAATATTCACTAGAGAAAAATGATGTGAACGTAACAAAGGAATTGATTGAATACAAAATTGCTGGCACTTGCCTTTACCTCTGGATTTTAAAACACGAATCTGTTTTTTATATTTTAATCAAAGGTGCAGGCATCTCTAATGTATTTGTCATTGCAAATTTGAAAGTCATCAATAGTAAGATTTGAAAATCACTTTAAGTGGTCCACCACATTAAAAATTATTTTAGTTAATCAGTAACATTTGAAAAATATTTGAAGTGGTCAGTTCACAGATGATATTGTATTTATTATGATGTTTAAGCTATAATTGATGAAAATAGTTGGTAAGTGTATAAAAATAAAAATAGATCTTAAATTTTATGTAATTTGGAAACTTGCTTTTAAGAGGTGTTCAATTAAAGCAAAGTTTCTGTTGTGTGTGTGTTTTTTAAACCATACCATTTGGCATATAAAAGTGCAGTGGGTGGTATGGCTGAAAGAAAATAGGTGGTGGTCCAGATGTTACATAATAAGGGTACCCTCCCTGAAAAGTATAGTATGGAGCAGGCTGATAAAAGCAAGTTACACTGTCTGTACTGGGTAGGACATTCTGTTCTCCAAGTACTTTTAAAGCCATAAAAGTGATCATGTTGAGAGTCTCTCTTCTTTCATTATGCATGAGGCAAACTGTGCTTTCATCCACAACTCGACGCAAGGTCATAAGGTACTCATATTTGCTCTTTTCTTCGCCTATGAAATGGTTGCAGAGGTATGAGTCAATCTTCTTTTGTTGTTCTGCTACATCAGGAAAATCAATGAAGAATCTAGAACACATATAACGTTCCAGGATCTTGATTTCTGCCTCAAGAGCTGGCTTAAAGTCACGAACCAGCAAGTTGATGTACTTCAGAAGGCCACCACCTCTAATCTCTTCAGGTTTTCTGGTAGATATAAGCTTGTGTTGCAAATGGGTCATTGCTTCTTGGAAGTTGCCATACATGCTTTCAGCGACCACAACAGGATAGGATTCTTGGGTGAGCTTAGCATTTTTGTCACTGTAGAAGTCTAACATAGGATCCAAAAGAATTTGAAAGGAATCAACACTAAATTCAAATTGTCGTCTGAGCGAATTCACAAATTTTAGCTCGACATTCTTCCCAGTGTTATTTGAAAGAGAGATGAGACTCCAGCGATCATGCTTATTGCAAATTTTGACCATCTTCTGAACATAAGCATCTTTCATGATCTTTAGGGTGATCTTGTCCTTTTTTACACCTTTTGGTAAAAAGTCCAGTAGACAACCTAGAACTGCATCTTTAACAACATGAAATTCTTCCTCACTTGACAGTTCAATACCAAAAATAACATCCAGATCCTTATAGCTGATTCCTTTGTGGCTTGCAAGTATGTAACTTGCTGTGGAACCATTCAACCGGGTATCTTTAACAACAATTCCTTTTTCTATCAGTTGATCTTTTACAACACGTATTATATATTTTGGTTTTACCTCCAATGTGGGGAAATTCCCCTTTCCATGAATTGGAATTACTTCATCTAACACTTTATCAAGTATTTTAACTTGATCCCAAGTGAGATTGCTGAATCCTATTTCAGACATTGTGAAGTTAGGAGGTCAACTAGAAAACAAGCAAAATATTGAGAAGAAATGTTAGCATCTTGCAATCAGTTTTATACCTAAAGCATATGAAAAAGTTAAAAATAGACTTACCCTCTACATAAAACAAACTAATACTAGGAAGTAAATTATCAATGTATTTAATTGTGGTTAAATCTATAAGTGAAATAAAGCCACTATGATTATGTCAAAATTGTTAGATCCATTGGTGCATGCAAACAGGCATTCTCTGGGATTTGTTAGAATTCTAATTAGTTTTTATGTAAAATGGTGGCCTTTCTCAATCTTTATTCATATAAATACTATGATGATTGTATTTGTTTTGTGTTATAAATTTTGTTCATGAGATACTCATAATATATCATTGAGGTTAGTTGTCATGAATTTAAAGTGAGATCAGATAGAATGTCTGTGTATTAGACCCAACTGACTTAATGGCATAATGATGGGATAATGTTCAAAAGCAATATATAACATCTTTAATCCAAAAGCATCAGATCACTCATTAATTATATATATATATATCAATATTTCAGTTTCATATATATTACTGTTCTCATTTTAAAAAATATTACTGAAAGCCATGATTACAGTATGAATTCCTTGAATTGCCTGAGGATAAGGATAGTACCTAATTTATCACCTCTTCTATGTTCCCCGTAACCCTTTAAAAACAGTTTATCAAAGGAAATAATGAATGTCACTTTCAAATGAAACAACAAATGAGACTACAAAATTTGTCTACAAAATAAGAGTAAAAATATACAAAAGCATAAGATTCCTGGGCTTTAAAAAAGGTTTTCTGCAGATGTGTATTATGATATGCATGAAAATTTTAAGGTTGGGAGTGTTAGAAAATTAAATTAAATTATAGACACTATAAACACAATTAAATATAATTCTATCATTATGCAATTAGGCACAATTAGAGTTATTACATAGATCTTCAAATACTTTATTAAGCTGTTTAAGCTAATAAATCTAGGAAAGTAAATAAAGTTCATTATGGGCATAGCTTTGGGTTTAAGCATTCTTTCCTGAATTCCAGAAATAAAAATTATATGAAGCTTAAGACATATTTGTGTAGACAATATTTATATTTTTCCTATCTAGAGAGCTATTATATCAGTATCTGAATATTTAGAATTTAGTAATATATGAGGTGTGACCAAAATATGGTGAATGTTTAAATTTAAAAAAATACATATTACAGTAAAAGATATATTGCCATTAATCCACCTCGCTTCAAACACACTCATTCCATGGTTCTTGCCACTTTCTGTAGCAGTTCTGGAAGCTCTCTTTTGTGTCTTTATTTGCACTGTCATGGCTGCCTCGATGTCCTGAAAAATTCAAAATGTTTACCTTTCATGGTCATTTTGACTTTGGGAAAGAGCCAGAAGTTGCACAGTGCTAGATATGGTGAATAAGGTGAATGAGGACACACTGTAAAGTTTTTGACAGAAATTGCCATACCAGAAGTGATGTGTGGCATGGAGCCTTTCCGCTGTGATCAACAAATATGGTGAATGCTGCTGTCGAGTGCCATCCAATGAACAGTTGGGGATCTTCAATACAGGAAGCTGTGTGTCAAACCTTAGTAACAATGTGTGACATGTTTCAACTTGTTCAGTGCCATCAGTCAGGTGTGAGCTACGGTTGAGAGAAGAGTGCCCTAAATCATCCTCCATCATGACAATGCCCCGTGTCACACATCGCTTCTGGAATATGGCAATTTTTGTCAAATAAAAATATTATGGTGTGTCCTCATCCACCTTGTTCAGTGGATCTGGCACCGTGTGACTTCTGGCTCTTCCCCAAAGTCAAAATGATTCAGGACATTGAGGCAGCCATGACAGTGCAACTAAAGACACTCACAAAAGGGACTTCCAGAACTGCTTCAGGAAGTGCCAAGAATGATGGGATAAGTGTGTTTGAAGAGAGGAGGAGTATTTTGGGGGGGATTAATGTTAATGTGTCTTTTACTATAATATTTTTTATTTAAACATTCAGTGTATTTTTTAATCACACTTCACATATTTCCCTAGTAAAACTAGGGCAAAATAGAATCATCTTATTTGACATCCGTATAACCAACTTTTACAGTCCAAGCATTTTGCAAAAGGCCAATTAAACAATGACAAATCTGTGTCAGTGAGAAGATGAGACTAAGCCTATTTGTTTATTTATATGAAATCCCCGTATTATGAATGAAAGAGTATTTATTTTTACTGTGTGATAATGTGTTGTTTGTTTTACTTTAAGCCACATTAATTACTAATATTCAGACAGTTTCATCAGCTATGTGAACATCTAAATCAATACTTAAAGATGAATGGGCTGAATTGACTGTACATCAGAGAGTTGGATTTTGGTCATTCATCCATCAAATGAAATGATCTGTATTGTGTCTTTAAGACATTGGAAAGAGCAAGATGCTACATGAAGGAAAGAATATGCATTAAGAATTCGCATGCCTATTTTCTAATTTCTTTTCCTGGAATTATCACTGAATTGTTTGAAGCCAACAAAGTTTGTTAAACTCAAATTTTCAATCTAGAAAAGTAATAATTCATAATGTTGGCTGGCTGCATGTAAAGGCTTTAGGAAAATCAACCACTTACCTAATAATTTTTTTAGAAATGTCACATGTAAACTATATCATTTTAAGTGATACAGAAAAAGTTCCAAATTCCTTTTTAATACACAAATTTATTTTGCAAACAGCAATTTTCCTTTCCTTAATGGCAAATGTCATTGGTCAATATTAGTGAAAAGTTAAAAATCGAATTACCTCACCCCACGCCCACAATCCCCAGGTAAATCTATATTTCTAATCACCAATGCTCTGAAAATAAAGATCATTTACATTGATATACTGATGTTACTGAAATACCAAATTCTTTTCCATACAGAAGTTTCCAGGATCTTCATATTAAAATAAAAACATCGAAAGACATCAGTAAGTTAACTATCTAATTGCCAGAATGCAGGAATCCTTGATCAAAAGGCAACCTTAGTGACCATCAATAGACAACTGGATAAAGGAGAAGTGGTACATATATATAAATGGAATATTACTTGGCCATAAAAAAGAAATGAAATCTTACCATTTGTGACAACATGGATGGGACCTACAGGGTATTACACTAAATGAAATATGTCAGACAGAGAAAGTCAAATACTATATGGTCTCACTTATTTGTGGAATCTAAAGAACAAAATAAATGAACAAACAAAACAGAAACAGACTTAGATACAGAGAACAAATTGATGGTTACCAGATGGGAGGGGGGTTGGGGAGCTGGGTGAAAAAGGTGAAGGGATTAAGATGTACAGATTGGTAGTTACAAAATAGTCATGGGGATGTAAAGTACAGCACAGGGAAAATAATCAATAATATTGTAATAACTATGTATAGTGCCGAGTACTAGGCTAATTGGAGGGATTACTTTGTAAATTATAAAAATGTCTAAACTATTATACTATACCCCTGAAAATAATGTAAAATAATATTGAATTTTAACAGTAATTGAAAAAAAAAGATGTCTTTCAAATCAAGAAACAGTCTCACTTTATATCTTGCATCTGCTCATACGTATTAGATTAGGAAAGGAAAGATCAGAATTTTGTTTCCCAGACAGAATCATATAAGAACTTGCAAGGACAAAAAAGAGGTCCAAAGTTTAATTTTACATTACACTAGAAATGAGGTGTAGGAAAACTGATCATCATTGTGCAAGTATCTAGTTGCCTCTTGATTACCTATGTTAATGATACCCAAACTTTCTGGTCTTCAGAATTATCTACAGAGCTTTAAAGACACACATATAGAATATTTTAAGCCTAGTATTTCTTGTTAAAAAATTACCAGTGAAATCAACTTGCTAGGATGTGGGAAAACTGTGCCCTTGGTTGAGCGATATATTAACTGTCAAAATCAGAGCTTTAATAATCAGTTAAGATGTGTTTACCTTTCTCTATCCACAACTACATAAATTTATTTATTTATTTATTTATTTATTTATTTATTTATATTAAATTTATTGAGGTGACATTGGTTAGTAAAATTATATAGGTTTCAAGTGTACAATTTGTAATGCATCCTCTATATACAGCATTGTATGTTCACCCAAAGTGAAGTCTCCTTCCGGCACATAAGTTTGACCCCCTTTACTCTCTTTTACCTCCCCCCTTACCCTCTGGTAACCACTACACTATTGTCTGTGTCTATGAGTTTTTGTTTGTTTGCCTTATTTGTTTGTTGCTTTCAGTTTTATATTTCACATATGAGTGAAATCATGTGGTTCTTGACTTTTTCTGTCTGACGCTTTTGCTTAGCATGATAATAAACCTATTCTTTAAATCAAGCCTATTTTGCTATTGAATTAATGTATCATTACCAACCTAGGAATTCTAAGCTACCATCTCACTGACCACTTCTATAGTGATATGCACAGAAAATGCCAATTAGAATTTTTTAAAAATAGCTTTAGAAAGAAAAGCATAATTATGAAAATAAATCTGTTATACAAAAAAAAATAAATCTGTGATACATGATTATTTGACATATTTGTGACACGCATACAAATACATATACACATATAGACATATGAGCACAAAAATATAATGAAATCCATGTCACAGTGGAATAAAAATAAATAATTACATTGATCTGGTGTCTATACACACTTCCACCAATGCTCACCTCTATTAACATGGACAATTAAGATTTGCGGGTAATGTTATGCTTTTTTGGCACATCTACTATTCATTTTCATGTAATGTACAATATCAGTGTGATAAGTACAAATTATCTAATACGATGTTAAAATAATAAGACTTGTCTTCATATATGGATTATGGCTCAAAATTTAACTATTATACCTTATATAACAGAAGCAAATAGTTATTCTATATCAAAGTAAAAAACATCACAAAAGTTATTGGGAAATTTAATTTGAATTGCTGAACCAAAAAGCATGGATAAATATAAACTCT